TAAGCCCAACCAGAACTTTTATAGCTGAATTCTCTACCAGACAAATTTTCTAAACTGATTTCATGAGTAGCCTCAAATATAACACAATACTGTAGCCCAGACTGGAAGTTACTAATATATCAATCATTATAAAACTACCTCAGTTTAGAAAAGGGAATAGCTGGTGAATCAGACAAATCTGATAAGTTCATTACTATAAGAAATGAAGCAGCTGTTATGAAAATGAAAGAGCAGAAAGGAATAAAAGAGTTAATCAGTCACTAATTAAACTTGTATATAATAGACCTCTTCCTAACCAGATAAAAGAAAGGCATTAACAGCTAATGATTGAATCAGTTTGTTGCTCCAAAATAGAAATAAATCTCCAACATCATTCCTTAGAGGACCTCAAAAATTTAGGTATAATTGAACATGACTGCTTTTCATCAAAAGAAAATGTATAAACAATATTACCCTTTATTTTTTGTCCTTTGAAGACACATCTCAACAGAATGCCTTTTGTTCTGCAGAAATCTCTGTGTTTCCATCAGATACAATCTTTTGTCTACTTTTTATATTACCTATGACTTTACCGAAAATTATATTGATGTATATAAAAAAGAACACAGATTTATAATGTATACTGCTGGCATTGAATGTTGCTAGGCAACAAGTGGCCCATACTAATTTTCAGATGGACAAGTTTTTGAATTTAGTGGGGGAAATAATAGCTTAAGCAAACAGATGGGATTGTACAGCTAGGAGGAATCTGAACGAAGTTTTTCAAGCATTTCTTATAGGTTGGTTTTCTTTGGTATGAGTAGAATTCATGACAATAATGTTGCATCAAATGTATGAAATATGTGTAACATTGGCTAAAAAGGGACAAAATATGGCAGCAGGAAGATAAAAGGCAGAAATAGAAAATTATGGATCAACCTATATATACAGCAGGTGGCAGGACTTAGTTGATCTTGACAGCTCTTGAAAAAGTTAAGTATTTATTTTAATTTAATAATAATAATAAATATAAAGTTGGAAGGGACCTTGGAGGTCATCTAGTCCAACCCCCTGCTCAGGCAGGAAACCCTATACCATTTCTGACAAATGGCTGTCCAGTTTCTTCTTAAAAACTTCCAGTGTTGGCGCATTCACCGCTTCTGGAGGTGGGTTGTTCCATTGGTTAATTGTTCTAACTGTCAGGAAGTTTCTCCTTAGTTCTAGGTTGCTTCTCTCTTTGGTTAGTTTCCACCCGTTGCTTCTTGTCCTGCCTTCAGGCACTTTGGAAAATAGCTTGACTCTCTCTTCTTTGTGGCAGCCCCTGAGATATTGGAATACTGCTATCATGTCCCCCCTCGTCCTTCTCTTCGTTCAACTAGAGATACCCAATTCCAGCAACTGTTCCTTATATGTTTTAGCCTCCAGTCCAATCATCTTTGTTGCTCTTCTTTGTACTCTTTCTAGAGTCTCAACATCTTTTTTACATCGTGGTGACCAAAACTGGATGCAGTATTCCAAGTGTGGCCTTACCAAGGCATTGTAAAGTGGTATTAATATTTCACTTGATCTTGATTCTATCCCTCTGTTAATGCAGCCTAGCACTGTGTTGGCTTTTTTGGCAGCTGCAGCACACTGCTGACTCATATTTAAGTGATTGTCCACTAGGACTCCGAGATCCCTCTCACAGTTACTACTATTGAGCAAGGTACCCCCTATACTATACCTGTACATTTGTTTTTTCTTGCCTAAATGTAGAACCTTATTATATATATAATATTTAGAAACTGCCCGTATCCTTCACAGAGTGACAATCAAAATAGGATTAGATCTGGCTAATAATACCAAGATTGTATTATTTCTTTGAGAACAACAGTAGAATGTAAACATTATGATCTATATAAGCTAAATGTTCTTTATGTGATTTTTCAGTCAGTTCATATTGTTGAATTTTTATGGCTCTACATTACCTAATGCACGAACATAGGTTCTTTTCCTTGAACATAATTGACTTTGCAAAAGATAGCTTTGTAAGGAAACTGACACCTTCACATTTCAAAAGCAAACAAAATGTCTGAAGAAATATAATCCAATCTTCGAAGTAGCTCTTTGTTTCCAAAGTTTTGCTTTTAATTACACTGAATTCTGTATTGGCTTAGGCATGTGCAGTAATTCCTACTAAAGTCAATTGATTAAGCCAGTTTGACCCTCCCCCCTTAAATGCAACTTTACCTTTTTGAAATGTGAGCATATGTGGAAGTAGCCCATACGTTTCTGGTGGTGTGGAAAAAAAATCCCTCTCATTTACTCATCTTTATTTTATCCATATTATAATTGATTTTGACCAGTTCTTTCCATTTTTGAAAGTATCACTCTATTCACTCTTTTTAAGCCATGATTTCATGATCTCACAAGTTGGATTTTTTGGAGAAATTTATACTATGCACAGCCCTTCCTCCAACATTTTCTTCTACTACTAGTATGCCTTCTTTCCCAAAACATTACTGTTAAAAGACTTTCCTCCATGACAATTCCCATTGGCAGAAGAACTTCTGTTCAGAATATTTGTCCAATCTTTTTATGCCTCCTTGTCTGATTGCCTCTGATTATCTACATTTAACTTAGACATTTGTGAAATAATCCAGATAAAATGTTTTGAACATTATACCCATTATATAAAATATTATTATAATGTTTGGCAATGTATTATCTCCTATTTTACTACATGGAACTTAAAGTGGCAAACAGCAGATATTAAGTAGTCCCTACAGTCAACCATATTATGTTCTGCATCACATGTCCCCCAGCTTTCCCAACCACTCTTAAAAAGAATCATAAATACCTGTTGTTCAAATTATTTTCTAAATTCTATTGTTCTCAACAGCAAAGATCATGACATCAAATAATATTTGCATCTCATTTTCTTACATTGCTAGAAATCCTTCCTGATGGGGGGATAATTTATGTAAGTATACTGGATCCTGCCATTAAAGCTGTCACTCATTTCTCTACATACACTACATGGAAGCTGGTGTTTAATTACTCTTTTGTAAACCAGACAGGCTGTTGGTTATTAAAATGCTGTAGGAGCATACAAATGTGATCAATACAAAAGCATATTAAACTGTATTTTAACTGTTCATATATCAAGTGGATTCATTTGCTTTCTTTTGTCCCTGTTAATGTCATAATAATTGCTGTTAAACATAAAATAGCCAAAAAGAAAGACAATGCTATATTGTAAAGAATTGTGGATCCACATTTTTGTGAACAAGTTTAACAAAGAAATGTTTAAATAGCACCACAGGTGACTACAAATTCCTAAGACTAAATTCAGAAAATATTAGCATTCCATTGTTAGGATTCATATTACTGCCTTCCCATAATATTTGACAATTTTGGATTCTTGATGATTGTTAATAGGACCACAAATTTATATAACATCTTACTGATTCTTAATAGAACAGAAGTCAATAGAGATTTCATTGAGTTCATCAGGAACCCTTTGCTGAGTTCATCAGGAACACAAGACACACACAAGTTACCACTCCTATTTTTCCTCACAATACCACTGTGAGGTAAGTAAGGTGAGAGATTGAGACTAGACCACAGTCAACCGCTGAGTTTTTGTGGCTAAGGTAGACTAGGACTTGATGTCCTTGCTTTCATTCCAGTGTCATAAGTTGATAATCACATATTATATATGTAGCCTATTTCCACATGGAATAGAATGTGGGGAGCAGAGTAGACTGTTCATCTTCAGGCTCTAACATGTTTTTAGAGTCATCTATATTTTTAAAAATCATGCAAAATAACAAGAAGTCTATTAGTCTAGCCTATTATTTCTTACTCAGAATCTAATTTTTATTTAAAAGAACATTAAAACATTCACTCTTGTTCGCAGTTGGATATAGTATATTTCTACAATCTCAACAGCTATATTTTGATTCAGATCTAACATGTCTCAGTTTATAAAATAGACATGCATTTACAATATACCCATGGACAACCTCCTTCTTTGATGAACTATCACTTATATGTAGTCCTAAATCTTATCTTTGGATCAGATACACTTAGCTTTGTGGCAATTCCAGGCTAGAAGTATTGCATTTTAGAACATAAAATTCATTTCTAGATTTGCCCTGATTAACACATCAGCTGTATTTACTCATTGAGACTAAACCAATTAATTGCAGCTAGAAGAGCTGGTTATGAAAAAGTCTGTAGGAGTAAAAGTGTCTTGAAGCTTGAGATGATCCCCTAAGCTAAACTTACTGGCGATTGGAATAAAAAATAGATATAATCAACTTTCTCACATGAAATCAGTAATAGGATGGGAAGCAATGAATTATACTAGCACTTGGGTCTCATACTGTAAGCTGTCTTGTTTTGAAGGTGTAAAAACAAAAAAACGGTGAAGACTTTTTGCTGCCATCTGCTGTTAGGAATGTATAGCTCTAACCAACCTGTTTGTTGTTTTCCCAGTTGTCAAAACATGACTGCAGCATTTCATTTATGCCTCAGATACATACCGTTATATAAAAATAAAAAGACTGAGATCCAAATATCCATATTAAAGTAAAAGCACAGTAAATGAATAAATGTCCGGACACACAAATTTTTACACACACACACACACACACACACACACACACACACATATTTATCTTTTGGATTTTTGTAATATTTTTAGGACCAGTTTGCTTTGCTTTTTCTTTAAAAGCATATATTTGCTTTACATTAAATATGTAGGCACAGAATTTCTAAAGTTAAGACAGAGTCATCTTTGCTTGGCATGTGCCCTATGACTGAACTTGGGCTTCTTAAAGTGTGCTCTTGAATAGCCTTAAGCAACAAGCATTAAAAGATATCTCCCAGCTTCCTGATCTATTCTACCCTGAGCTTCATAACTGGGAAATAGGAGAAGGCGCAGGATGCACTGAACACATTTTACCACCATAGCTTGTTTTTTTTTATTTCCTTTAGAAAAAAAAAACAAAACAAGACTGTACAGTATTTCTTACCTCACATCCATCACAGGCAACAGGCATGAAAAACTGGGACCTCAGCATCCACAGAAGAAGTATAGTCCTAAGAAAGAGGGTTATTATTAAAGAGTTGGCATTTCATATACATTTATCTAGTATCTCTTTTTCAAGTAGATCCTGTTTTAAAATGGGAAGGAAAATAATGAAAATCTATTTCAGCATTTCTTTACTAAGATCAAGTCAAATAGCCTATACTATTTTAGTCTATAGTTCCAGATTCCTCAATATTTATTAAATGAGCCATAGGTTGTCATAAAAACTTAGCAATACTGTTGAATTCAATAACTACTAAAATAGAATTACAAGATGATTCACAGTACTAGGCTTGGTGAAGGTATAGGTTAGCACATAGAGCCTATTAGCCTAAATAATGTGGCTAGTAATAATTGAAAGGGCAAAATATGAAACTATGTAAGATTATGCTACTTTCTTTTACCTATCCTTGTCCAAAAGCTACATAAATGGTCTTTTCCTGTGTTTGACTTTGTGTTAAGGCAAAAAAAGAAAAAAAATTTCCATTTCTTTCCCATGCTCATTTCCCCACAAATCACCTGCTTTTTTTTTAGATTTATTCACATGTTGGATCACACATTATATTTAGTTTAATAGCCTATTAAAGACAAAATTGTTAGTTTTATAAGCAGTGACATATTGAAGAAACAATCCCCACCAAACTCTGGCTGAATATCTAACTGACTTTGTCTGGGCTCAGAAATTAAAAAAGATCAAGCCTGGTCAGTATATGGATAGGAGACTATCAAGAAACATCAAGGCTATATTGGGGAGATAGAAAAACACTCTGAAAGAAGGTAAGAAAAAAAAGTAGAAATTCATTTGCATTTTGCTGCCCAGAAAATAAGTAAATTCAAAATAAGAAATGGAATCTAACTATTGAATGTAGAATTGATCCTCTCAGAATTCCCTCTAGCACATAATTTAAAGTTTAAGTCTCATGAATTGCATATAACCTTTAATCAAAAATACCAGTCTACCAAGCTATGAAATATTGACTTTAGAAATCCACAACAAGCTTTTCTGGACCAATGAACTTTTGTTTCATATATTCTGATATGGTAATATCTTACCTCAGGAAAACTTCAAATGTTACTTGTCACAGACTTGAATAAAGATATTTGTTAATTTTTGCTTTATTTTAAATGAATGTTATATTAAATTTTAGGGAGAAGTAACTGGCTGTATAAATATGACACCCACCAAGGAGAAAACAAAATGAACTGCTTTTTTAGGACTGTTTACATACTCTTTCTAGAAAGTGTTTTCTAGCCTTAGTTAAGCTAGATAACATACCATAACTTCGTTGGCACCAACAACTAGGAATTAAGAAAATGTTAATTGATGACTTAGATGGCATTTTGCACAAGAACATTTATTCGTGTCTATTGGACCACATCTGCTGGAACATTTATTTGTGTTTATTGTAACTTAGTTACAAAAATACCATTACTGCTTAATGGTATTGCCTGAACACGTTGGCCTCCACAATCTTGTTTGTACAAGCTAAAATTAAATCGAAAAAAATATATATTGTGGTCTGTGATGTCAGATTAAGTAGAAAGGATAACTGTCAGAATCCAATCATATTTCATCTTTAATTATCAAATATAGAAACTCCCAATTCTGCCTTCTTTGGATTCTGCCATAAGAGGGAGAGAAGGGGGAGAACAAAAGGGCTTTATGGCCCTCACTTCCTTCAGTAGACTTCAAAGAGCTGAATGCTGAATGTGTGTTTATTGTAACCTATTGTAACCTCAAAGCGTTAACACCAGAGAACATTAGCATTAACAAAGAAGAGTATTTGCCTTTCATGTAGTTATCTGAAGTCTCCATCCAGACGGAAGAAAGAAGAAACGGGGTGGAATTGTGATACTTGAAACTATCACTGGGAAGGGGGGTTGATTGGGTGGGACTACTGGGGAACCCCTTAAAACCTTGAATGGGAGAGCTTGGACCCCAAGTCCTGTCTAGCATGCCTGCAACCATTTTCTCTTAATAAAGGATTCCTGTTGGAAGAACTATTCCAAGAGTTCTGTCTTCTTAAGATGCAAAGTGGGGTGGGTCCTTACATTAGACAGGACTTGCAAAATTAATCCACCTGGAAGGTAGACCCTTGCCGGGGGATTTTGCAAAAATTTACCATGTCAGACAACGAAGCAAGAGAGGGAGAAAACTCCCTGGAAAGAGAGCCGCTGACCCAGTTGGAACCTTGCCAGACGTTGGGATCCGAGAGGCCAGATTTCTCAGAAGAAGAAGTGGTGGAGACACAGGACCACAAGCCTCACTGGTCGATGGGCGTTGGAAAGAAAAGCGAGTGGGGAAAGGAATCAAGAAAAGTGACCCTGAGACGGGGGACCAAGCAACCAGAATGGAAGCAGGAGATGGAGAAATCCCTGCACGCAAGTGAAGAGGGAGGAAGCTGTATGCCGTACTCAGACTGGATCCTAGAGAAAGCTATTGACCTGATGAAGAGAACTCTCAGCTCCCTAGGAGAGGAGATTCCTGAGCCCTACGCCCGCCCCAGTTCCTGGAGCCACAAAGGGAGAGACACCGAGGGGGACGTGGAACCTGCAACCCCAGGGACATTTACTGATCCAGGAGCTCCCACCCCCTACCGGACCCAAGATGGAAATCTGGACGGAAGACACTACCACCCACAATGGAGGCACCGATCCATTCCAAGACGTCCACCGTTGGAGGTGAAATTCAAAGGGGAGCCAACACGCTTGGGGTTTTTCCTAACCCAAGTCCTCAGCTACATGGAGGAATATGGGCAGGACATCCCCAGCGACAAAGCCCGCATCCGGATCGTGCAATCTGCCCTGGATGGACCAGCTGCAGATTGGGTGGTGAACCTGCATGACTCCAATGCCCCAGAACTCAGTAACTTCAACCGTTTCATGTCCTCTTTGAGAAGACGATTTGAAGACCCCCTGGCTGATCGCAAAGCCCGTGAAAGAATAACAACGATGAGGCAGGGCAAACGCCCAGTGGCTGAGTATACACAAGAATTCCGAGCCATTGCCAGCAAACTGAATTGGCCAGAAGACATCCTCCTTGGCCGTTTCAAAGACGGACTAAACTATGATCTATATGATGCTTGCCTGCCCCGAGGAGACCCACATCGACTTGAGGAATGGTACGTCTTGGCAGAGGAAGCAGAGATCGACATATTGAAGAGGCATCGCCGAGGAAAACAATGGAGCCGCCCCCCGCCTGAGCTGACACACCAACCGGTGAAATCATCGGATACAGCCAAGAAGCAGATGGGGTGTTTCAAGTGCGGAAGAGAAGGGCATCGAGCTGTAGAATGCCGCTCAAAGGCCCCCCAGCACAACCCAGACAGATCCCCAATCAACAAACCCAGAGGGTATTCAGCTAAGCCAAAAGAAACAGCCATGAAAATGATGGAAATTGCAGAAAACCCCACCTCTGCTCACCAAGGGGAAAGAACTCCAGCCTACACCACAGGGACGGTGGATGCCTCAGATGACAGCTCGGAAGGCGAACCCCTGGTAAGTGGACGCATCACACCCATCTTCAAAACAGTGACTATATTAATCCCCCCCATGCCCGAAGCTGTGAAGGTGAAAGCCTTAATAGACTCTGGCTGCACCCGCTGCCTCATTAGCCCAACACTAGTGGGGAATCTGGGCATCCCATCCAGGAGACTGGAACAACCAATCTCATTTGGCCAGCTAGATGGATCCATAGCAGGGGGGGTGCCAGCTACCCTAGCCACTCTGCCAATACACCTCTCCCTGGGCAACCATGAAGAGGACTTAACGTTTGTGGTGACCCCAGGTATGGAATGCCCAATGATTCTAGGGATGGAATGGTTGAAAAAATGGAACCCCTGGGTAAATTGGAGGACGACAGAAATCAAATTCCCGAAGGGGGACCCTATGGACTTAAAACCCCAAGAGAGGCTACCAGAATCAAGAATAGAAAAAGCATCCATAGGAGAGGAAAAAAGATTAACAGAAATACCAGAGGAATATAGGGACCTTGCTGAAGTCTTCAGTGAGGAGAGGGCGAATGAGCTTCCCCCCCACCGACCCACAGACTGTACCATTGAATTCAAGCCTGGGGCAAAACTCCCGAAACCCAGATTATACTCCATGAGCCCAAAGGAGAAGGAGGAAATGGAAAGATTTATAAAAAAAAACCTGGAGAGAGGTTTCATTGAACCAGCTAAGCCTAAAGTGGCTGCCCCGGTCCTTTTTAGAGAGAAGAAGGATGGCTCTTTACGTTTATGCGTGGATTATAGGGCCCTGAACACAATCAGTGAAAGCAACCTATACCCGCTGCCCCTCATGAAAGACATGCTGTCACACCTATCGAAAGGGAAAATTTTTTCTAAACTAGACTTAAGGGAAGCTTACTATCGCGTGAGAATCAAGGAAGGGGACGAATGGAAGACTGCATTTAACTGCCCCATGGGGTGCTATCAATTCAAAGTCTTGCCATTTGGATTACAAGGGGGCCCTGCAGTCTTTATGCAATTAATCAATGACGTTCTAAGGGAGCACCTGTTTAAGGGGGTCCTTGTTTACTTGGACGACATTCTTATCTTTACCGAAACAAAAGAAGAGCACGTCAAACTTGTCAGAGCGGTTTTAAAGAAGCTGCGAGCCGCTCACCTATATGCCAAACTCTCAAAATGCGAATTCCACCAGGAAAGGATAGACTACCTAGGCTATCGCATATCCCCACAGGGCATTGAAATGGACCCAGAGAAGGTCAAAGCAGTATTAAATTGGGCACCACCCCACACAAGAAAGCAACTACAAAGTTTCCTGGGCTTTGCAAATTTTTACCGCCAATTCATCCCCTCATTTGCACAGATAGCCTTGCCCCTCACTAACTTACTAAAAACGAAGGGAACATCCTCAGTAAAACCTAGCCAGCCACTAACATGGACAATGGAGTGCCAAGCAGCGTTTGAGAGACTAAAGAGACTTTTTTCTGCCGAACCAGTACTAAGGCACCCAGACATGGACAAGCCCTTCATAATACAGGCAGATG